CCCGAGAGGAGAATGGAGGAGAAGGGATTGCGGCGTGACCATCCCCCCTGGGGGGTGATTTCTCGCTTTCTGTCTCTATGTCTCTGTCTGTCTGGCGAGCGCACGCGCCCTACAGTGAAAATCTCTCCAAAAAAAAAAAAAAAAAGTTTCTATGGAACATCATTAGAGAAATGTTTGAGGAATAGTGATAAAATGATCATTTAAATTAATCCTCTTCAAAGCGTTTTAGTTCACATTATAAGAAACTTGGTAACATTGTCATCCAAGCAATGTTCATTAATGGTTTACTAATGTTCAGACATTAAGTGCCTCTTGATAGAGAAGTATACCAGTGAGGTAAAAATACATAAAATTAAACTGGCAAATAACATCTGAATCAGATCTACCCATTTATAGGAAATACAAGGGACAATGGACAGATATAATCACTAAAAGCTAGACTGTGGAAAACTGCACAGGATAAATGTCCTAGTTTTTTCAACCAAAAGTAATAACAAAAAGAGAGGTGAAGAGAAGATTTATAAATAAAAAGAAAACACAACCAAGCACAATGTTTGACCCAATTTCATCTCAAGTCAAACTACCTGTAAAATACTATAATTATAATTTATAAGATAATCCAGGAAATCTGAGCACTGACTAAATATTTTAATTTTTTTATATGTAATAATGGTATTGTTATATTTTGTTAAGGGTCCTTATAATTTAGAATTATATACTGAAATATGACAAGAGGGTAGAACTATCTGTCCATACAGATAAAATAAAAGTGGCCATGTATTAATTGATATAACTCTCGAAGCTGAGCGATAAATAACTAAACAAACACATTTTGTGGGTTTGAAATTTTTTTTAAATACAGAAATTTTAACACTATGACTTGACATGAGCATAATAAAATGGGGAAAGTCTACACATTTTATACGTGGCAAATGCACAACAGAGCTTAGAGTATATTTTTGTTAAGTTGTAACTTTAATATACTCTAAGTCTTTTAAAATATGCTATAACCAAAGATGTTAAATATCACATCTATATATTCTTTCTAAACTTACGGCATTCTTGAGGTATATCATCACAATACCACTAAGCATTAACAATGAAAAGTAAAGAAAGTCTGCACTAACCTTGTGCACTGGAATGTCTTAAAAGCAGAAATGATGAGGCTCTATAAATGTAAACTTCCAAGTTCTTGAGAGCATCTGGCATACTGTTTAACTCTATCTCCTATCAATTCTGTAACAAATTAACCTTGAAAACAAGCCTCTCTCTCAGAAAGTAACGTACAGCTTCAGAAGCAAAGTTCAAACTGCATTTTTAAAAGATCAAGTCCAGACTAGTTTCTTGCCAAAGAAAATTAGGATTAAATAGTTACTTACATGGAAAGCGAACTGCCCTGAGAAATCATACATCCCACAGGAATGCATCAAACTCAGTGTATTTCGAACTGCTTCAGGACTCAGTACTCTTTCACCAGTTATGGGGCAGAAACCACCATTAGCCAGTGTTGCAGCCATCACACTGGCTGATTCACATGTCACTTCGATGGAACACAGCTGAAACAAGGACAAAACTGAATTCTTAAAATTTAGGTTTTCACTTTTAACGTTATACTTCAAAGGTAATGTATTTTATCTGATATTTCATACAGATTTGAAATATTTCTTCCAGAAGTATTATTTTAATTTATCTTGATATGCCACAGATTTAAAGTGATTAAATCCTAGCCCCTTTCAGGTTTATGCTGATTTGCCCCAAGTTATTCAGTCTTTAAATGACTGAAAATAACAAGGCTACTCCTAAGCATGAAGATTTATTATTGGCCATTTAAGATTCATTATTGGCCATTTGGTATTCAAATTTGCTTAAATATTAATGCTTTTTGTTAAATACACAAGCATAACAATTTTTAACTCAACAAGAAAAAAATGAATCATGATACATATTTAAGATAAAGCAACATACACAGAATTATAATATCGGTTATATCACATCATTTTTTTTACTACTTCGGAAGAAAAAAATGCTAAAATGCATAACATTTCACTTATAACAAAGCTCAGCCTTGGAGACCAGCAGTTAGCATAATGGCTATGTCGCTGGACTCCCACGTAGTCAACCGCAGTTCACGTCCCAGACCCGGTGGCTTAAAACTCACGCCGGGTGTGTGTGCGTGCCCAAGATCCTGATAGGAGTATGGAGGAGAAGGAAATGCGGCGTGGCCATCCCCCTGGGGGGTGATTTCTCGATTTCTGTCTCTGTCTCTGGAGAGTGCAAGCGCCCTATAGCAAAAACCTCTCAAAAAAAAGAAAAAAAAAAAAAAAAAACTCAGCCTCTCTATTTACATAGAAATGCTCAAAGGACAAAGAGGAAAAAAACTCTATAGTATTAATAACTCTAACTTAGATGCTCTGCAAACCTAAACTAAATTGTTACCTTTTAAGACCATTTCTATTTATTTTATATTTACTATGGGTGCGGGATTTATCATGATGAAGGAGAAAAAAAAAATTCCATGTACTCTTAGATAACATTTTTGCATTTAAATATAATCAAAATAATCAAAAGTTTTCCACCCTAAACACAAATTTATCCACAAAACTAAAATAATAATTTTTTTAAATATTTAATTTTTAGTAAAACAGTAGAAAAACTGGGGAAGGGGGTGAGAGAAAGTGAGGGAAAGAAGGAATACAGAAAACTGGATCCTCAACGTGTAAACTTTCCCGATTCCTGCAAAAGGCACAAAAGGGTTGGAAATAACAGGAAGAAAATCTAACTACAGTGTATTAGATCACTGTGTAATTCTGATGGGCAGTCACTGTTTTAATAAACTTTCACTTTTGTCCACTGAAACTATAAGCTCTTTTTTTATTTCTCTGGAACTACAGACTAGATACTATTTTACCTCAAATAGCAAAGACTTATACTTAGGTTGACTTAATCATGGAAGGCTTTCTCAAAGAAGTAGGATTTAAATTCCAATGATCAATTCCTAATTTATATTTAGTAATAATCAGAATTTTGTGTCATACGCCTAAACTCAACAAATACCAACTTAAGAGTACAATCCTGGTAGCTTGATGGATGTTTAATTAGCTGCAATCTTCTCCAAAAAAAGTTAGTAAAGACTTTATGGCTGTCTTTTGACTTTTGCCCTGAAGTACAGAAATTTCACAGATCAGTAAACCTAAGCTATAATAGCTAAAATTAAATATGTATTCCAAAAGAAAATTAACTTACACACAAAAAATCTGTATGGGCTAGGGAAATAATCCCAAAAATAGACAATTAAGACTAAATCAGGTTAAAAAGCTTCTGCACAACAAAAGAAACAATGATTCGATTGAATCAGCAACCCTAGGAATAGGAGAATGTATTTGCAAACTATGCCTCAGATAAGGGAGTGGTAACCAAAATATGTAGGAAACTCAAGCAACATACCTGAAAAAAAAAGATCAACCCAATTAAAGTTGGGCAAATAGGCTGAAAAGACAACTCTCTAAGAAAAACACACAAACAGCCAAAAAGCCTATGAAAAAATGCTCAACATCCCTTATCACAAGGGAGATGCAAATCAAAACCAAATGAGATAACACCTAACCCCACTTAGAATAGCAAAGATTACAAGGGAACTCTCCTATACTGTTGGTAGGAATGTAAATTAGTACATTAGTAGTATTGTGGGGAACAATATGGAGGTTCCTCAAAGACCTACAAATAGAACTGCCACATGGTCCAGCAAGTTCACTACTGGCTATTTACCCAAAGAATAGAAATGCACTCAGTTAGAAAAGTAGTTGCAAATCCATGTTTACTGTGGCATTATTCACAGTTACTAAGACATGAAACCAACCCAGATGATGGACTGTAAAAGTGTGGCACGTACACTGTGGAATACTGCTCAGCCATGAATAAACATTGAGACCCTGACATTTCAAAGAAAGTGGGCAAATATAGAAGATTTACTGTTCAGCAAAATAAGTGTGACTAAGAAAGAGGCACTGTATTTCTTGACTCAATATATACTGAATGTCTGCTCTTTAGAGCAGAAACTGAAATACTAGAAGATATAAAAACATGGAGTACAACTGTGGATACTAGAGACAGTGGAGGAGGAGGGTGGGAAATGGGGGCGGGTGAGAGGAAGGGAATCAAGGAGAAAAATAAAGAAACAAAACATGTAAGGGTCACAAAAACGGAAAATTATCAGCTGATGATAATGAGTATGGTATCTTCAACTGGACATGGATACAGTGTATCCGTGCTGGGAAAATTCATTTTGCATGCTGCAATGATATAGAGTGATTGAATGTATTTAAATATATATATATATATATATATATATGGCTATTGGCTAAGAGAATAAAAATGATGCATTATTTAATATAATATTTTATATTTCCAAAGAAATTTCACATCTATCATCTCATGTTATCTTCAATGAGCAAGTCAGGTAAAATATGTGTTACAGAAAATGAAATCAGAACACAATAAATGACATCAGGACACTTGGCTAATAAGTGGCCAGGCTAGACCTTAAATTTTATGTTGACAGTCTGGATTCTCAGTTCAGTTTTTCACGTTGGGAAGATGACCATCTTGTAACCTGGTCTTTGATCAAAATCTACTTCATTATCAAACTCCCTATATACTCTATATGATTACTGAAAGGTTAACATTAAAACACTTTCAAAAGTAGAGATAGGAAAATGTAAGCTGAACAGAAATTAACAATACTGTAGCCTACTAGGGAGGTTCACATTACACCACTCTCACTAACCAATGGTGTTAATAAGGTAAGAATAAACTGAACTGACAATATAGGGAGGGATTTCCAGCAGGGTATCCAGATTGAGTTCTATCCCACGGTAATTATACATGTGCCCTCCCCATGAATGTTGAGAACTACCCGAGGAGAAAACCCACCATGTGACACTGTGGAAATAAACTTAACAATTATTCTAATATCAGATAAACCAGGAAAGAATAGTAGCAACATAATTATGGAGGACATGAAGTAAGCTAAGAAACTGACACATTAAAATACCGAACACAGGGGCCAGCAGGTGGCATGGTGGTTAAAGGTGCTGGACTCCCACATGGCCAACTGCGGTTTGCATCCTGGACCTGGTGGCTTGCTTTCTTGCTCTCTCTCTCTCTCTCCCCCTACCCTCGTTGATCAAATTAAAAACATAAAGTAAAAAATAATTCTTTAAAAAAACAAAGACAAAAACAAAAAAACACGGACCAGCAATTGGCACAATGGCTATGTCACTGGACTCCCATGTAGATGACCGTGGTTCGAGTCCCGGACCCAGTGACTTAAACTCATGCCAGGTGCATGTATGTGCATGCCCAAGATCCCAAGAAGAGAATGGAGGAGAAGGCATTGTGGCATCGCCATCCCCCTGGAGGGTGATTTCTCACTTTCTGTCTCTCTGTCTGTTTCTCTGGTGAGTACATGCACCCTATAGCAAAAACCTCTCCAAAACAAACAAAAAAAAACAAACCAAAAAACTGAACATAAACTCTGTAAGAAACAGATAGCTTCTCACCACCAAAATTTAAAATCTAAGAAAACAGGGCTCAGTTTTTAATCAGGAAATCAATGGGGGGAGGGATCTGTACAATATTTTGGCACTTATCTTTTTTTTAATTGTCAGATAGTACATTCACTTAATAGAGAGAGACAGAGAAAAAGAGAGGGATGGGCTGGCACCATGGTCTAGTAGTTAATGCAGCCAGAACCCATGTAGCTGATTGTGTGGTTTAAGTTCTAGACCCAGCAGCTTGTAAAGCATGTCTAGCCCATGTGCGTGGGTACCCATAATCCCAAAAGAGGGAGAGATGGAGAAGGGACTGTGTGGTGACCATCTCCCAGGGGGTGGGGTGCTACTCTCCTTCCCTCTCTGGCAAGAGCATGCACCATCTAGCAAAAATAATGAGAGAAGGAAGGGGCTGTAGTCACACTGTAATTCCTTTCCCTCCATTCTGTGGGATTTGGGGCGCACACACACACACACACACACACACACACACACAGTGTGTGTTTCAAGTCACCAGGGCCATGTTCAGAACCTGAACCATGATCGACCATGGAGGATCCATCTTCCCTTAACCACTAGGCTATGTATGGGCCAGCCTGGCACTTCCTGAGTATATTTTCAGAAAATTGTTTTCTTATTACATTCTGAGGTATGAATTTTTAGAAAATAGTCATGATAACTGCTTTTCATGAGGACATACTTTGAAAGTTAATGGAAAATTTATTTTCTCCTGGTCTAGAGCCAAGATTTCACACATTTATATTTCACAAAATGTGGCACACCCAACTATATATATAGTCTATACAATTAAATTACCTGGAAATAGAAGTCTAGTATACCAACCATGTCTGTGCCTTCTGGAAAACACTGGAAAGAAACAGAAAATAATTAATATAGGCACACAGGAGAAAATTATGCATATGAACAAAAAAACAAATATTTCACTTAAAACGTATATAAATGATTCATTTTGAGAACAAAACACACATAGAACTTATGACTATAGATATGAAATAAAGCAAAATCTCATAACACCATATTACTTTCTACATATTACTCTGGTACATAATTCATAAAATAATTTTTGGACCTGCCACTTAAAATTGCTAAAAATAAGAGGTAATTAACACTAATCAGGCATTTTACTTTTGAAAATGCAGACTAAACCTCAAGTCCAATTTGCATTAGTGTAAGTAGCCAAATACTTGCATATTGCCAGATACAAATCAATTAAAAAACATGAATAATTTGGTAACACTGACTCCAGAATGCTTTGCAAAAACATCTACATCTAAAACAGTTAAAGGTAGTTTCTTAGTTGTTTAATTCTTAGCATACATCTTCATATATTTGATTAAATGAAAGAATAATTTTAAACAGAAGTAAAACTTTCAAAACCTTTTTTTCTTTTAAGTAATATCCTATTGCAAAATTCCGATCTCCACTTTCTCTTTCCGACTGAAACCTGGAAGAAAAAGAAGATATTTGTTCTATTTATTTACTTTTTGTAAAAGTGTGATTGTTTATTAGTTTATTTGTATATCGATACATAGTATGAAGAAAACTGAACTAAGAGTTAGAAATGTTGCATTCCAGTCACAAGTCTGTCAACAGGTGGTCATGTGGCCTTGGGCAAATCATTTAAGGAATAATTCTTTCAATATTTATTTTCTCACCTACAGAAAAGACTGAAATAAACTTAGGTCCTTTCTAGTCTACACAATTTGTGAAAAAAAGTTAATCTTGAAATTCTAAAATATTCTACCATTAAAATATGCTAAAAATATTACAGAATTCCCTGGTTCCTCAAAAGTAAACAGTCAATTCTAACCATAGGGAATTCATGGAAATTTCACTAAGAGAAGGACACATAAAAATCTTACAGAACTTTGCATTAGCAGACTTCAGGGGGAACCTAGTCAGTCGTAAATTCCATGCACGACAAACAAAATTATAAAAATTTAGAAGATAAGACTTCATTGAAGAACAGCAAAAGTTCTGATGGATCTGAGAAATGGAGTGCATGGAGAATGGGGAAACTAAAAAAGGAGACAGGTACCAAATTATTAAGACTAGTAAATGCCAAGCAATATCCGAACTGCCCACTAAACAAAAATTATGAAGGCTTTCAAACAAGTTACGTTGTCAGATCAATATTTAAGAACGATTATTCTGACAACAGTTTGGGAAAGGGAAAAAAGAAAGGATAAGTGGTGTCTTAGGAGACTATAGTAACAAGAACTACCAAAAGCCTGAATTTGGACAGTGATGATAGGAATGGAAGGAGGGGTATATCACACATGCAAGCAGTTGGATAAGTCTTCCAACTTGATAGGAAAGAGGAGAGAGAGGATGAAGTCTGATACAAAGCCTGAATTTTTACTATGGCCTACCGAGAGGATGATGATATTAACTCACATGAGGATACCTGGAGTAAAGAGCAATTTGGGAAGAAAGAGAATGAGTCTTGATTTAGACAGATTTAAGTTTGTAAAACATGACAGATTAACCTACAAGTGCCCAAATGGTGCTTATGGTAAAGAAACTGTGAATGACACCCCTATTACTCAGGTGGCTAGCTCCTTCTTACTGTAGATTTTAAGTTTTCTACAGTCAGAAAAATAATCTTAGATATGGAAACATTCTTGTTAACTTGCCAGACTTAAAAAAAATAAAATCAATACAGTATAGATAAAGGACCAATTCCTCTGCATATTACAGTGCCTGCCACACAGTTCAGTTCATCAAACACTATCTCAAGTGCCTATTACATGCCAGATAAAAGGGATACAGAAATAGATCCAAAGATACAGTGCTCTACCCAGTTCTTAAGAAGATCAGTCTAAAGGTGGTCATGGAGAGACATAGAGTAAGTTCAACAAAATTTAGTAATATGAAAGCACAGAGAAGAGGTATGATGATAATCATGGAAAGCTTCCTGGAAAAGACACTTATATTGATTAATTAATGTCGGTGAGACAAATAGCCTGAAAATGTTTGCCCTGAAATGTAAAGCAAAAAAAAAGTACAAAATGAGAATAAAATAGTAAATATTTATGCTAAAACTGTTTAATGTCTTTCTAATCATAAGGAAACAATTATACACAAATTCAAATTGAGAAATATCTACTACAGCTCATGAAGCAGATCTGGCCTGCTGTCTGTTATTATAAAGTTTTCTGGAACATAGCCTCATATTGTCTATGACTACTTTCCTAGTAAAACACTAGAATTAAGTAACTGCAACAGAAAACACATGACCTGCAAGCCTGAAACATATACTGTCTGTCCTTCAATGAAAAAAGTTAAGTCAATCTGTTCTATAAAACATCTGACTGGGCCAACCTGTGGCCTAGTGGTTAAAAAACCTGGATCCCACATGGCTGACCACATGAATTCAAGTCCTGGAAATGGTAGCTTGAGAAATATGCCAGGCATGTGTGTGTGTGTGTGTGTGTTTCTAAATGGTTGGTAGCATGGCCATGCTCAATTTTGGGTGCTTTCTTCCTCTTCTTCTCCCTCTTTCTCTCTGACAAGCACATTTGCCCTCTTTAGTGGGAGGGGGGGGAAGCCTTCAGTCTTCAAAAAAAGGTCATTTAACAAAACTTTAAAAAGAATGGTCTAGGGCTAGCAGGTGGTATCATGGTTAAGGTGCTGGACTCCCACATGGCTGACCACAGTTCAAGTCATAAATCTGGCAGCTAGCTTTCTCCCTTTCCTTCTCTCTCTGGATGAGCATAGAAGCTCTACAGAAAATTAAAAAATAATAATGCAATTAAATAGGTAATTCTTTAAAAAATAAAAAACAGTGGTCTAGAGAAGGGGGACTGTTCTATATTTAGAAGATGACATAATGACAACTGTGATACAAAAAACTTGATTAATTGCCGAATTAAAGTAGTAATAATAAAACCTGTTTAAAAAAAAATTAGGGAAACGGTTGGGGACATTTACATATTGATTAATGTCAAGATATATCAAAGCTAATGTTAAGGGTCTTAAGTATGTTAATGGCATTGTGATTATGTACAACAATGTCCTTAATTTAGGATTTATTCATGCCAAGTTATTTAAGGGAGAAGTATGATGATGCCTACAACTTAATTTCAAATGGATTCAGCAAAAAAGATCTGTGTGTGTGTGTGTGTGTGTGTGTGTGTGTGTGTGTAACAACTATTACAGGCAAAGAGAAAACTAAGCACCAGTAATTTGAAGTAAACTTGGGGTCTCTTCTGATTGTACCTATAAAAAGTTCCATGAACTACTTAAAATATTTAATTTTTAAGTCTCTCTTGGGTAATTCAGAATCACTCATTTTCCTCTAATGATTCAATGTTAAATAATTATTCACTGAAGTAAATCCTAGGACCAAAAAGTAAGAATAGATTAATTCTAAATAAAGTGTGTGTCTATATGTATGAAGTAACAACATATTATTTAAAATCAAATTCTATTTATATTCTAAAATTAATTTAAAGAGATTCTAAAATGAATTTAAAGAGGCATGACCCACAATAAAAACCAAAGTCACAAATCAAACTTACGTTGCATTACTGAATCCAACATATTCATTACCAGCCATCTTATTCAAAAACTGCATCACCTATAAATGAAAATTATGAAGTGTAAGCAAAAAACACTTGTATAAAAAATTTTGCATGAATACTGAATTCTATGTTACACTTACATAGTCAAATTTTTCAGCATTATTTACTCCTTGCTGCAAAAAATAAACAAACATATATATGTTAATAATGGTACCACCACAGTTAAGTTTTAAGCTAATATAATATCTAAATTTCAAACAGCTACCATTATAATTAATATGCTGTATTAGTATTTTTAAATCTAAGAAATACTTCTAAGTAATGTAATAGTTATATAAACTTTTCTCCATGTCCTTTAGCACCCATGTGTTGAGAATGGATGAGAAGAACAAAGGGAATGCTTTAAGTATATCTTTAACCAAACCCAAATTACAGAATTTTAAATGCAAAGTACCCTGAATCCCCGATCTTCCATGATAATACATGATCTGCTAAAATGTTGTGTTATTTAATTTCACATTTTCAAAAACTTAAAATAGGTTTTACCCTTAGAAAAAAATTAAGTATAAACAAATCACAATTCTCAGTTAAGAACAATCTATATATTTTTTAGAAACCCTTAAACCAATATTAGAGTTAGAAAAATGAGTTATGTTGCAAAACTAACTATTCATAATCCTATTATATGCACATATTTTGGATACATTTTTACGAATGTAGAGAAAGCTCTACCCTTACTATCCTACACTTATTACAATACTTGAACTAAAATAAAAAATTTCATAGTTTCTTAAAAAATTAGCTACAATTATATTTTGCACTATGCCAATTCAAACAATGGAAGATGTATTGTTTCATCATTTCTATTTCTGACATGTTATCTACTGCAAATGTCAATAGGAAAAACCTATGTAACGTAGATCAGTTCAAGTAGCCAAATGGTTTCATTTTACCTCGGCGAAGTTTACAAAGCAGTAAGCTGTAGATCTGAAATCAAACGTATTAATTGGTGATATGCACCCAATAGAAACAATACATCTCTAAGTTCTAAAACAGGCTTAAAATAAAATAATTTGACAACTAAAATTTTAAAAAACATTTTTTTATTTTACCTTCAAAAAAATTCCAAAATATTATACTTTATAATACTATGAAGGGAAAACTTGAACCAGAATATTATTTAATTGAACAAAGCCAGGTTCATTCTCCATTTTATGAGATTTACAAGGGTGCAGCTGATAAACATGTGTAAACCAACAGATCAATTTATTTTAAAAGATGTGCATTCACATATACACGATCAGTAGCTGGAAGGAACATCATGCTACTTCATCAAAATTAGGCATTAACGGAACTTAAAAATAATTTAGGTACAACCATTTTGCAATCATTATCAATGTATTTCCTCTAAAGTATCCTTTGGCATATTGTAAGTTTCTTTTCTTTATAATACACCAGAAATCGAAATGTAGAAATGTAACTCCAAAGCTGTTCAATGAAAAATAATTAAAAGAAGAAATTACCAACTTCATTGAACTGTTGCAGTTGTCAAAATATTCCATAGATCCTAATGCTGTAAAATATGTAACAACATTTAAACCACAAAAACCTTTTTAACTTAGAAAAAAAAGCACAAAAAAAAAAAAAAGAAAAAAAGAAAGAAACACAACTCTTTTTGGAAAAGCGTGTCAGCATTTGCATTGGGATGTCACATGGATAATTACTGGTTATACAATTAATCAATGTAAAATAAACATTAAAGTTAGCTGTGCTTTCATTTTCTAACCTAAACTATATATTCTGTAACGTTAATAAACTTTTCCTTATTAAGTTATCATATTTGATATTAAAAAATTTTCAATTCTAGACTATAGTCGCATACACTAACTCACTTCTATCATCATATAACATTTTGGGTAAGTTACTCAAAATGCCATAGGCATATTACATAAATGGGACAAAACAAAATATTGAATCATTGTGTTGACTCAAGAATATATCTCCCTAAAAGTTCCCCACTTAAATGTAATGGTATTTGATAAATGTTCATTTTTATTATCTACCCTGGAAATGGCAAAATATATTTGCCCTTGTATCTCTTAGAAAGATTTCATTCCTCAGGATATATGGGATCTAATAGTCATAAAAATGTCATGTTACTTTAATATTGAAAAAGAGTAAAAATTTATTTGCAAGCTGTTAGGAAAAAAATGTGTACATACACACACGCACAGACACACACACACACACAGAATAAATTAATAGGAAACCTCCTCCATTTCCTCCCTTAAACAAACAAACAAAAAAAACTTTAACCGTCATCATTATGGAGTAGTGGGGAGAAAGGAGGAGGAGACGTTATAAAAATTGAACCTCGAAATGGATGCATGGGAGTTGGTATTACTATTCTGTTTTGTACGTTTGTTCTATTATAATAAAAAGTTAAAGGAAAAATGTATATTTGCTAATAATTTCCCACACTAATTTGTAGGAATATATCTTTGAATTAAGTCCCTTTCTCTTCTGAAATAGAAACTGATTTTTAGTTTATGTATCGGTGGAACTTTCTAGTGCTAGAATGAGATGGGGATTATTTTCCTACTTTTAATTTTTTTGGGGGGAGGTTTTTGCTATAGGGCGCGTGTGCTCGCCAGAAAGACAGAGAGAGAGAGAGAGAGACAGAAAGCAAGAAATCACCCCCCGGGGGGAATGGTCACACCACAATACCGTCTCCTCCATTCTCCTCTCGGGATCTTGGGCACCCATGCACACGCGCCTGATGTGAGTATAAGCCTCCGGGTCTGGGACTCAACCACAGTTGACTACGTGGGAGTCCAGCGACATAGCCATTACACTAACTGCTGGTCCCCCTACTTTTAATTTTTATAGACATAGGAATTGACAATCCTTACGTACAAGAGACAAGTGAAGTTTCGGTATAGCAATGTCACCAAATTATATACAGGCCTTTATCTCATTACTTGCAAAAAGTCACATATTAATTTACCCTAAAAAATTACACTAATGCTCTTATTGATTGACAATTTGCTTAGATCCTTTTTTGAAAAATTTTGTTGAAATCAAAGAACTGGAAACAACCTGTTATACAACAACAGGACTTATTCTAGTCAGTACAGTGATTCACAACCTCAATGCCGACTCCAGTATTTCAAAATGTTCTACTCAAGACTTTTTACAACCTGGAGCAATTCATCATAACAAAATTTGGGACGTAAGAAGTATGCTTTTATTTTGGAAAAGTGGATGACACTTAGATCGAAGGTAGATTAATTTTAAGAAGGGTATATAATGAAACATCTGGAAATTGTTAAAACCATCAATGCCCCTTTACCCTTTGGAAAGAAGTCTTGTAGCCAGGGGAATGATTTTTCCCTGTATGAAGATCACTGTTACAAGCATTCTTAGACTTTAATTTTGAAAAAGTTTCAGTAATTTATAATAAATGCAGCAAGAATACTTTTAAAATATATTAAATTGGATAAAATATATTAACCAAAATTTACAATCCATTCACCAAATGACTTCAAAAAAAGGAAATCATGCAATTTGTTTGAAAAAGTAATCAGATCCTGATACTAGGAATTGCACAAAATTGTTTTCTATTGACATGCTTATCAAGCTGTGGAATTTTTATCCTTTCAGAACCCTATGAATGAAAACTTGATAAAGAGGCACTGAGCTTTTTAATATTTCCTACTAAAGAATTACTGTCAACTATATTGGAGTGTTTTTACAACATACTTATGAACTGATTTATGTATTATGTATTATAACATAGCTGAAAACATCCAATAAGTTTAATATGAAAATGGCTCACTTAAACTGAATGAATTAATCAGAGTTCTTCTGTAAATAACTCACATGATTTCTCTCATAAAGTATGAAGGTATAAGTCAATTAAACATTAAAGATCACAAAAGAGGCAAAAAAGAGATAACTGAAAATGGTTTTATAAAACATTCTTAAATTTAATCTTGCTACAGAAAATGCTTTAAAGCTAATAAGTACTAGAGAATTAAAAACAGGTACTACAGGAAAAAACAATGTTTTAGATCTAGTATTTTCAGATTAGTCCCCCAAATAAGGTAAGAGAATAGTGGATTTACTTGGCAATAAATATTCTAGCTTTCATGAAAAAACCTGAAATATATCAACTGATATAAAATAACCCAATATAATCATGTCTAATGACCATTACCGAGTCCAAGGCATTATATTATCTATTTACCCCTGAGTCACTAACCTCCTTAAAAATATGGCAAATCTAATGGCTATTATTATTAACATGGCCAAATGAACATTACATGTAAAATAACTAAACTTGTTTTGATTTTGATGGAGCATGATTAAATTGTTGAGAGAGAAAGCGAACCCTAATATTTAAATTCAAAAATACTTCTGATTAAAAATACCTAGTTACTTCAAATGACAAAAACTGGGAACTGAAACCGAACAGGGGTGTGGTGGTAAAAACCACGTTGCTCTTTGAAGTAATCCCACATGGGAAGGTTCCTGGTTCAAGTCCAGAGATCTCCCTGAATATGCTGGGCATAGGCTTGCCCATGAACCAGGACTGCATGAAAGCCAGAGGTGGATCATGGCGTCAAGACCTTATTTGGGGAACACATGCTCTCTCTTTCAGCTTGCTTATTCATGGAAGAAATATATAAACGAACCTAAGAAACTACCACTAGAACAGACACATAAACAAGAACACAGCGCAACTTATTATTTATAAAATGAAAATGGAAGGTGTGGCAATTATTTTGCAGTATGCTACCCTCATCTTTCCACCCTAACCCTTAAGTTATTGCCAGACTTTAACTTTTCAGAAAAATTAGGTGAAATTTTTACCACTGAAAAAAATGGTAATTACATAAGGATACTATTATTTCATTTAGAAATAAGTGTTCCTTTCAAATTTATTTTATTCTTTCCTTTAAATCAAGCAATCATACATGATCATCAAATATAACAGTCTGCAACAAAAAGTATTCCTTTAGAGTTAGCAGTTACCATAGAGAAAAAAGAGAGGAAGTACAGTAACCTTATGGTTTTCTTAATTATGTGCATTTTAAGTATAAAATGACATTTGTTTTTAAAAAGGTATTTACCTATATAGCTTTGTTTAAAATTTTAAATATTGAAGTTTTCCTATAAGCTTAGTAGTTAAGAATTTATGCAACAGGTTCCTTCTGTCCAACTCCTTTTTTCCACAATCTGCTAATCCTTTTGAACATTTGCTCTGCCTCTTCCCCCATTTCCTGAGGATCACCACCAATCCTACAAGGAAAAAATATCAATACTACAAAATTATGAAATAAAGAGTCTTACTAAAGACTCTACTTAAATTTGGAGGACAGGGAGGGGGAGTTACATGAGAATTATTTCAATGGCACCACAATGATGTCTGAATTTTAAGACAAAAAAAAATCACAACCTTAAAATCATCAACTAAAAGGGCTTTATAAAAAAACAACAACAAAAAAATAAACAAAACCCCAAAAAACAGAATTCATACCTTTAGCCACAGTAAAAATTACCTATGCCCTGGGTACTTAAACATAAGCTCCTTGGAAAGGGGCCTACTTCCTTACAAAAAAAATAGGCACTAACTAATGTCCAAGGAATTACTAAATGTATCACAGAAAAACAGATACAACTTTTAAGCCAAAAGACACCTGTTGTTAAGAACTAGAAAAAGAGGGACTAGCAGATGGCATAATGGTTACGTCGCTGGACTCGCACATGGTCAACTGCAGTTTGAGTCCCAGACCCAGGAACTTGAAATTCATGCCAGGCACGTGTGCATGCATGCCCCAAATCCCAAGGAGAATGGAGAAGAGGAGACTGTGGTGTGGCCATCCCCCCTGAGGGGGTGATTTCTCGCTTTCTATCTCTCTGTCTCTATGGTGAGTGCACTTGTCCTATAGCAAAAATCTCTTTAAAAAAAAAAAAAAAGAATTAAGGAAAGAGTATACATGGGTTTTGGACAGTATAACAATACTAATTAAAGCTTAAGATGTCATAGAAAAAGAGAAAATGCCTATGTTAAATATGGCAGAATGAATTCAAATAACCAGTGTCAAGAGGTTTAGCTCAAGCCTGATTCTTTTGCTGTTACAACCTATCCACGCTGTTTCCTCAGCAATACAGAGTATGAGGGCTAAGCCTGACAATTTCTGAAAGTCCTTTTGACTACAGTTCTATTACCTCAATTTCAAACCATTACCAAACTCATAAATATTTTGTGATCACACAATTCCAGAGCACATTCAGATATTTATATTACTTTTAAATTCCTTCCTAAAAGGATCCTAAGGAAAAGTACTATATTCTTGGGCAGTTTTACACAGGGATTTATATTAGGCTTCCCCCTTCGAGATTTGCATGAACTACAGTAAAAAAAAAAAAAGAAAAGAAAAGAAAAGAAAAGGAAATAGCACTTGTGAAACATTCTAAAAATAAAACAAAACAAAGAAAGTGACCATAAATATGAACAATACCTCAAAGCCTCATTTCCAATTTTGGCAGTAAATTTAAATCTTTTATAAATTTAAAAACCACCAATCAAATTTGTAAATACAAAATGATCAGTTAAAATTTTTGCTGTTGGACACTGAACCAATGTTGTCTATGTGTATTTTAACTCTGTTTCAAATGTCTCATACTATGTGGCCCACTGAGTAGTCTACGGCTTATGACTGAACGTGGTAAATGAAACTAATGAAATGATGGCATGATACAACCAAAAATGCAGTTCCCACATGCAACATTTCAGTATGGCCTATTAAACCCATGAATCATTAAACTAAAAATTTCTAACAGCACTGCAATTAAGGAAGTCTTCTATTAATCATTTATATATAAAAAGATTTGAGAATGCTATTGGGAATGCCATGTCAATCTTTCTAATGGAACAGCTTCAATGGGTCTGCAAACCCTTTAACGTTTATATACAATCACAGTATGTGGATATTGTTCTGGAAAGATCCAAAAGTGGTTCAGAACCATTCTAGCATCCTTCTCATCAAGCATAACATATACATTATAATACCTCTCCGTACTTCTAATTAAATTTAGCTGTTCAAATCTGAACAATTATCGAGACTTTTCTTTCATCTTAGTATACTGAATTTCATTGTAAGGGCCCATTTATTTGTGCATATCTCACATTACGTGTAAGCTGTCATATGGTTGGCCTAAAATCACACTGCCATTTTCTGCAATAAACAGTTTCTGTCACCTTAAACTGACAGCTTTCTCTTTTATGAAGTAGCCATTAATAACTAGATATGTTAATGGGAAAAACAAAATTTTCCATAACCTAACAAAATTAGTTACATTTTAAAAATACTTAGCTATAAGATCTTCTTCATTAGAATTGTAAGAATTAAGTGGGCATTTGCCCTCAAACAACAATTCAACATACATTAAAGATAACAGTTTCTAATTTCAAAAGCTTTTTCTCAGGAAGATATAAGACTCATTAAAGAGAAGATTTCTAGTATACAAATTAGATACATTTTCATGAATTGGGCCAATGTTATACTCAAACATCCTTTATGCAACTAGGGTGCCCCATCCACAGTCATGCCTGCACGAAGTCATGTAGTTCTGTATTTTATTCTAACATGGAATAAATTAGGCAGAAAATTACTGAAGAAAAAATATAAATGTCCCCCAAACAAAATTTATTTTAATATAAGTGAAATTCGTAATTAGAAATTTAAAATCTAGGGACCAGCAGGTGGTGTGGTGGTTAAGGCGCTGGACACTCCCACATGGCCAACCATGGTTCAAGTCCTGGACCTGGTGGCTGGCTTTCTCACTTTCCCTCTCTCTCTGTGTCTCTTTTAGGTCAAAATAAAAATAAATGAATGAATAAATTAAATTAAATTAAATAATTCTTATAAAAATTAAAATCTAAATTAAAAATAAACAACTGTATGAGATAGAAATCTCTTACATATCAGAATCATTTTCAAATACTTATTTCAAAGCAGTAAAAACTCCAATTATTAAGGCAAACTAAAGACTTAAAAAAAAAAAGAAAAATCAACATACAATGCAAACTTCAAAGCATAAGAAAAACAATATAACTTAATAATTGGAATAAGCCTTATTTATTTTAATTATGGCATGATTTAAGTAAAATAAAACAAGTTCAAATGAAAATTATGATTCTACCTCATGAAGAATATAAAAGAAAACTTGCAAATACTCAAGGGTACATTGTCCTAAACATAAAGTGCTAGAACATTTGTTCCTACATATGCTGATAATAAACTTTATACAGCACAATTATTTTAATTCTGTTTATATCTGTTCATTCTGGAAGAATCGAAAGAGAAGGAAAAAAAATACCAAAACTTTCAAAGAAAAACCTCTATGCCTACCATTCAGTAGACTTCTTTTTAAATATATGACAGTCTTCAAATCAACAGTAATTAACAGTTAGAATTTACAATGAGTCATCTGTTTTTAATTCTGAATTAGAAATGACTACATCATTTATCTTGAAATAAAAATCTTAACCTATGCTACAAGGTTAACTTTTTAACACCAAGAGAAAACTTTTCAGAGCTCTACATAAGAACAATCCAAGATTCATTATTATGCCTTACATACAAAGATATTACAAAAAATTTGCTAAGTTAAAAAGAAATGTCAACATTTTACCTTTATTAGTGAAGTTACAACAATTGCTCCAGCATTAACCATAGGATTATGTGGTTTATCTGTAAAATATAAGAACAATATGCATTACTTCAAATACCTGATACCATTATTTTCAATGCATAGGTACTTTTCATAAGCATGGACATTTGTTTGTTCCCTCAATGTGAGCCACTGTTACATTTCTCTTTTTGGAGGGAGGAGGGTATTTAAACAGCTACATATCAAATTAGTAATTCACTTCTAGAATACTACTCTGATAACCTTCAACCGAAGGATTCATGTAAGGGAATAGTAAATAGTAATGTAAGAGCACATCAAAATTTCCTAATTTTGTCATTTCCTACATGTGGCCTCAGGCAAGAAACTGAACTTCCCTGTCTCAATTTTCTCACTTGTCAGTGGCAAAACATAGCACCCAACACCTTAGCATGTGGTAAAGACTGAATTAAAACTGGGACCAGCAGTTAGCATAATGGCTATATTGCTGGACTCCCATGTAGTCGACCGCGGTTCGAGTCTTGGACCCGGTGGCTTAAACTCACGCTGGGCGCATGTGCGTGCATGCCCAAGATCCTGAGAGGAGAATGGAGGAGAAGGGATTGTGGCGTGGCCGTCCCCCCAGGGGGTGATTTCTCACTTTCTATCTGTCTGTCTCTGTCTGGCGAGCACACGTGCCCTATAGCAAAAACTTCTCCAAAAAAAAGATTGAATTAAAACACACCAAATGCTTGGAAGGTGTCTGGCACATACTTTAGCACTCAAATAATACTACTATTCTAAAAATAATCTTAAAAGAAACACATCTAGCATGAGCCCATTTTGCTCTCTTTTTAAGTGTTTTATTTTTGTGCTTATGTACAAGCACCTATATGCACCGAAGAACGAAACAAAACACAAACAAATGATATACACAGAACATCAGACTGCAGAGTGACTTAAACTGTATTCTCTAGGCTATCTACATTTCCTAACAATGATGTATTCCTTAAATAATTTTAGAAGCTACTTAAAATTTTAAGTTCATCCATAATCTTACCTGTTATCCTTCTAATTCTCATAGGAAGTAAAATTTTAAATTTCACCTGTTTCCATTTTCATTCACTGCATGGCATGGACATCATACAAAACTCTGGGGGACAGTGAAAACATCTACATACAAACATACTTTAAAATTTTTCTACTGTGCTAGTGAGTTATTTCTTCAAAACAAGTTCTTATCTAACTTGACAAATCTGGCACAGTGGATTAAGCTATTGCCACATTACTAGTCTCCTTGAATCTTCAGCAAGCTACACTCTGAGACAAGACTCTAAGCTAAATGACTCTGAACTTCGGAAAACATATTCACACAAAAACCTGTACAAAAAATGTTCACACTACTGATAAAAGTCCAAAGTGAGAACAATTCAAACTTCCCATCAATTTACGAGTGGCACTCTGGTATTATTCACAAAATGGAACATTATATCTAAAAAAGAATAAAGCTACAACATGGATGAATCTTTTAAGAAGTATGTTAAGTAAAATAAGTCATAAAGGACCAAAAATTTATTGATGCATTATATGAAATTTCCCAAGTAGACAAATCCAGATACTACACTGCCAGTTGCCAGGGATTGAGGGTGGGGTGGGGCATGACTACTAATGGATATGGAATTTCTTTCTGTGGTGATGAAAGTATTCTCAAATAGATTATGGTGATGGTTACACAACTTTGTAAATATACTAGAAGTTACTGAATTGTATAATTCAAATGAGTCAAGTGTATGATAGGTAAATTATATCTCAATAAAGATGTTAAAAATGTTTAAGTAAAAAAAAAATCAAGAGACAAAAAAAAATGGATCAGGTAAATTACAATCTACTGATCAAACTTCTGTGGTACAGTCAGGAGCTCAGCAGCATAATGAACTGCGTGCTGGAAGTCACAAGGCCAACTGTGGGATCACATGACCTGAAACATGCTGGACATGTGCACTCACGTGCCCAGGATCTTAATAAGCCAGAGAGCAGAGAGAACAGTATCACAGCGTGATCAAACTCTTTCTTGGGCATGCACACATTCCCTATCATAAATCAAATAAACTTAAAAAAAAATTAGTCTAGCAATTTCCCTCAATGGAAGATCAATGATATAATTTAGTAGTGACAGTTTTAAAATTAGGCACTTTGTATCCAGCAGCCCCACTACTGGGTATACACGAGAAGTAAATAAAATCAGTATGTCAAAGAGCTATTTGCACTCCCATAGTCACAACAGCCAAGATATAAAATCAACTCAGATATTTGCCAATGGATAAATAGATTAAGTAAATGTGGTATTTATATACAAGACAATACTATTCAACCTTAACAAAGATAAAAATCCTGTTATGTGTGACAATATGGATGAACCTTGTTAACAGTATGTTAAAATAAGCCAGGCACAGACAGACAAATACCACATGAGGTCACCTACATGTGAAATCTAAAAAAGTGGAACTCACAGAAGCAGAGAGCAGAATAGTGGTTACCAGAAGGGATGGGAGTGGGGTAAAGAGACTGAGGACATATTGTAGGGGGTAAGATGAGATGAGGATGGGGAGACATCGGCCAAAAGATACAGCCAGGAAGATAACTACAGTTAATAATGTACTATATACATGAAAATAGCTAAGAAAGCAGTTTGTAAGTGTTCTCACTACAAATAAATGGTAAGTATATGAGGCAATGCACATATAGTTAGCTTAATTTAGTCATTCCATAATGTATATATATTTCAAAACATTCTATTGTATACCATAAACATATATAATTTGTATCATTTGTATTTGTTAATAAAAAATAATAAATAATAAAAAATTGCATATTTTGGGTTACTCATGATAATGACTTGTTTCAAAAGTTAGAATAAATTCTTGGCATTACATCTGAGCACTGTAATCAAGATCTCTCCTATTCCAAATTAGGCTGAGAAGTTTGCTTTCTCTGACACCACACAAAATGAGAGTGCTTGCTGTCTCAGAGGAATACTTCAAGGCAAGAGAGAGCCAAAAACATTTTTTTTCCAAATATTATCCACCTGAAAGAAAAACTGTATGCAGACAGAAAGCAGAATAGATACAAGGTCTTGCTAAATTATACTATACTTGTACTAGTGTAGATATTCATGTGTCTGTTGTTTCCTAGACATTATCAGGTTTAGACCCCAGGGCCATAGGAGGCAACTCAATTAAATGAGTGTATCCCAAATTGCACTACATAAATGTGGATATTAAATATTTTCTAAATGATATATATTCTGCCAGTGCTACATAAACTACATTCAAGATATTTCAAAGAACACGAAACCATTTCATACCATGACAGAGCAACTTTCAGATGTAATCTGCTGGCTCTGCCTATAGCTCAAAAGCCAGACGTCTGAAGATTTGGAAATGCACCAGAGATAATTTAACACCAGCCTAATTGCAGCATAAAACCTCAACCTAAGACTTCTGACTCTGTAATCTACCTGCTTCTGCTCTGCCATGAGGAGGAGGACAGAGTTGAAGAGTTCAAATTTACAATTCTTAATTTAGAAAATTTATCAACAGAATAAACAACACATACCGCACTAATTTAGTAAAAAATACTATGTGAGGTAATGACGTATGTTAGCATTTGGTAATCTAAAGAAATGGATGTAGACAACAACTAAAATTTATAGACATATTTTTATGTTTTGGGGTTTTTCCCCAACTGCCAGAGGGTATATGCACTTGAAAAGACAGACAGAGGGAGAAAACACCTCTCAGTGAGGGGCATGGTCACGCAGCAATCCCTTCTCTATTTCTTCATTCTGTTGGGATTTTGGAGGTACATGCACATATACCTCTCCTATTTCTTAAGCTGCCAGGGCCAGAATTCAAATTGTGGTCATCTGTGTGGGATCTGGCTCCCTTAATCATACAAAGGTTTGGTTCATAATTGACACTAAGGTGTTATTTGCTAAAGTGTATACTAAATAACTGAAAAGTTAGAAAGGATGTTTAGTTTACATTGGATATTTACATTTTAGGCATTATAATGGAATTCCATAGTGCCATATATAAATTAAAGATACCTAATGATTCACATTAACATGTTTTCAATATGTCCCATATATGGTTTAATTCTGCAATGTCTACTTGCATCTGACTTCATTCTTTCTACATAATTCAATCATATCTTCTTCATGTAAAAAAATTCAACTCCTCTGCTTTTTTAAAAAGAATTACTTTATTTAACTTTATTATTATTATTTTTAATTTGTCCAGAGAGGAGGGGAGAGAGAAACAAAGAAAGTGAGAAAGAAAACCGCCAGGTCTGGGACTTGAACTGAGGTAAGCCCACTGCCCTTAACCATGCCACCTGCTGGCTCAACTCCTCCTCTTTTTCAAGTGCTCAAGAGGAAGACATGCTCTACATGTGTAACCAACATACATTTTTGGCACCTTTCAATTATGTACAGAGCAGGGGTACTTAATGATACTCATGTGTCACTTAACAAGCATATGTTCTGAGAAATAGACTGCCAGACAATTTTTTTTTTTTTGGTCTGAACATCAGAGTGTACTTACTACACAAACCTAAACAGAATAGCCTACTATGCTATTCATGGACTATCATCATCTATGTGGTCCATCATTAACTTAAATATAATTTTGTAGCATATGATGGCAACTCTAAATGATATATATTCTGCCAGTGCTACATAAACTACATTCAAGATATTTCAAAGAACACGAAACCATTTCATACCATGACAGAGCAACTTTCAGATGTAATCTGCTGGCTCTGCCTATAGCTCAAAAGCCAGACGTCTGAAGATTTGGAAATGCACCAGAGATAATTTAACACCAGCCTAATTGCAGCATAAAACCTCAACCTAAGACTTCTGACTCTGTAATCTACCTGCTTCTGCTCTGCCATGAGGAGGAGGACAGAGTTGAAGAGTTCAAATTTACAATTCTTAATTTAGAAAATTTATCAACAGAATAAACAACACATACCGCACTAATTTAGTAAAAAATACTATGTGAGGTAATGACGTATGTTAGCATTTGGTAATCTAAAGAAATGGATGTAGACAACAACTAAAATTTATAGACATATTTTTATGTTTTGGGGTTTTTCCCCAACTGCCAGAGGGTATATGCACTTGAAAAGACAGACAGAGGGAGAAAACACCTCTCAGTGAGGGGCATGGTCACGCAGCAATCCCTTCTCTATTTCTTCATTCTGTTGGGATTTTGGAGGTACATGCACATATACCTCTCCTATTTCTTAAGCTGCCAGGGCCAGAATTCAAATTGTGGTCATCTGTGTGGGATCTGGCTCCCTTAATCATACAAAGGTTTGGTTCATAATTGACACTAAGGTGTTATTTGCTAAAGTGTATACTAAATAACTGAAAAGTTAGAAAGGATGTTTAGTTTACATTGGATATTTACATTTTAGGCATTATAATGGAATTCCATAGTGCCATATATAAATTAAAGATACCTAATGATTCACATTAACATGTTTTCAATATGTCCCATATATGGTTTAATTCTGCAATGTCTACTTGCATCTGACTTCATTCTTTCTACATAATTCAATCATATCTTCTTCATGTAAAAAAATTCAACTCCTCTGCTTTTTTAAAAAGAATTACTTTATTTAACTTTATTATTATTATTTTTAATTTGTCCAGAGAGGAGGGGAGAGAGAAACAAAGAAAGTGAGAAAGCAAACCGCCAGGTCTGGGACTTGAACTGAGGTAAGCCCACTGCCCTTAACCATGCCACCTGCTGGCTCAACTCCTCCTCTTTTTCAAGTGCTCAAGAGGAAGACATGCTCTACATGTGTAACCAACATACATTTTTGGCACCTTTCAATTATGTACAGAGCAGGGGTACTTAATGATACTCATGTGTCACTTAACAAGCATATGTTCTGAGAAATAGACTGCCAGACAATTTTTTTTTTTTTGGTCTGAACATCAGAGTGTACTTACTACACAAACCTAAACAGAATAGCCTACTATGCTATTCATGGACTATCATCATCTATGTGGTCCATCATTAACTTAAATATAATTTTGTAGCATATGATGGCAACTTGAAACGTAATTAGCATAATTAATAGGATGTTATGCTTCATTGTGCCTTCTCCAACCATATATTAGTGATACATAATTATTTTCTATATCTAATATTAGCTAAGTAGGTTACTCTTAAGAACCAAGGCCCATGTATCCTCCAGAGCTATTAGATAAGGCAGGCTATATAAATATCAATATAAACTCCCATAGAAGATGATCGTTTCCAAAAAGTAACTTGTTTCCTTGCTTATAATGATTTAAAAAAATCAGCAATCCCTGCCACAGGATTAAAACTTTTTATACTGCAAATATTTTCTTTGTTTTAAGGAGAGGGTCTTGCTATGCTGCCCAAGCTGGCTTCAAACTTGCAATTCTGTCTTAGCCCACTGAGTAGCTAGAATTAAAGCCATACAACACCATGTCCAGCTCATGATTAACATCTTTTTTTTTTTAAGAGAGATTTTTGCTATAGGACACAGGCACCCGCCAGAGAGACAGGGAGACAGAAAGTGAGAAATCACCACCAATTCCCCCCGGGAGAATGGCCACACCACAATCTCTTTTCCTCTACTCTCTTCTCAGGATTTTGGGTACATATGCCTGGCATGAGTTTTAAGCAGCCAGGTCTAGGACTCAAACCGTGGTAGACTACCTGAGAATCCAGTGATATAACCATTATGCCATCTGCTAGTCCCTACCACCATTTTAAAACTACTGTTACTAAAAAAGCAACTTCTATCATTTCCTATCTATTCATTATAGATAGTTAATATGATGTTTTTATTAATTACACTCATTATAAGTTCTCATCACAATCTTGTAAAGCTAGGATATACTAATTTATTCTTTTAAATCTTGTAATATAAGATACATAGACACACACAAAGTACACATAGTTCCACCATAAATAAACTCTTAAAGTTTTCAACATGAAAAAGATCTTAAAATTGATTTTTTTCTGAGACTAGTCTAAACCAAAACTCAAGAACACAGAACTTATTCAGAACTCAAAAGGGGTGGTATAATGAGGCCTATATTTCACCATTTCTTTCAAGACTGTAGGTGTTGGCTCAGGCTTAGTTTAAGTCTAAAAATGTCAAGGCAGAATCTCTCGTTAAATTTTGTATTTTAGTTATCATAAACCAGTGCTAAATCCCCAAGTTCTTATCCTAACTTTTTCCCTATATATTAGATGACAGTATCAATGAATCGTAATTTCTAAAGCCATAAACATACCTGGAAAAAATTTATTACTTTTAATATTAAGATCATTTACCCCCAAGCCCACCAGTATAGAAAATTATGATAAAAACAGGTAAGAAAATATAACTGTTCTCAAAACAAATAGGAAGAGAAGTATGAGAAAATATCAGCCTTAAAAAACTGTTTTTAAAAAATTAAACTATAATGAATACAAGGCACATTTCTTTTTTATATGCAGAGAAGAAAAAACTAAAGCATATTTCTCATAACCATTACTGTAATCATCACTCTTACTGTCCTTAACTCTGATTATTAATCTATCACACAATGAGAAATCTAGCATATGCTTGAAAGATTAAAAAACAGAAACCAGTTCATAGGTTTAACCTAGTTTGCATCCAGCTAAATTTGGATTTAAAATCTATTTAGATTTAAGATCTCTAACAGATCAAAGTACTTTGCTTCTGAACTCTTGTGAAGTTCTAAGACTTTGTTTTTCAGCTACTGGGCTGTCAGAAAAGTCACGTATTTTTCAATGCAAAAAATTGAGTCATGACTTTTCTGACAATCCTATATTTAACAGATGATATTTCTTTTAAATATTAAATATTATGAAGTAGTAAAAGCAAAACACTGATCAAAAACAGAAGGAAAAATTTAAAACTGAACAACTAACTAACTTACCTCAATCAGGGGCACCATTAAAAAACCTTTTTATTATAGAAGCTCTCAAATATATACAATATACAAACGGAGAAAAAATAGCATATAAACAAAATATCCATAATTTAGCTGTAATTATTACCAACAGATTATAAATAATCACATCCATCATTCCCAGCTGCCCTCACTGAAGAAAATCCCAGATATATTGAGATTTTTACTGAAAGATAGTCCCATATTTATAAAAATAAATTCTTACTCCAGCTCTTCATCTTCTCCCTAGCCCACTTCCCAGTGAAATGAGTTGACTAAAATACCATTTTTAAAAGTAGGTAACTAAACTATTGGGTCCTCAGAAAAGCCATGACATATTTTTCTATGTATTTTAAAGCAAAAATGTGTCATGACTTTTCCAACATCCCAATATCTTTAAGGATTTCAGTGAAATTCCATGACAAATGAGAAAAAGAAGACCTAATTTTTCTCCAAAAATTTTAAAACTTAAGTTTACAAAAGTAAATGAGCTATTTCTTCTCCTAATCAACTTTTCATGCAATTCTTACCATCTTCATTTAAAAACAGTTTGTTGAATCTTAATCCACTCGGTTCTTTCCCAACATATCGATGAACATACTCAGTTCCAAGATCGTTAACAGCAATAGCGTATTTCAAAGGTTTCACACAGGACTGAAGACAAAAGGGAACTTTGGTATCTCCAATAGAATGCCTATTTAAAAACAGAATTAAATAATAATAGCAACTGAATAAACCCTGTAGTACAGTTAAGAGTTATTTTTACATGTTAATTCCAATTTACAAAGATCCCATAATTCTGGCCAGTTATAGTACAATACTGGCACAGGAGTAATGTAATCATCTGTGCTGCTGAGGCCATCTGGGAAGGTCCCAGGGGCACATTCCATCTTTGCATGCCAGGCAGATGCATGCCTGTGATCCTAGCTGACTGAAGGTAGGACTGATTATGGCATTTAGACCCTGTTGGGGATGTCATTCTCTCTCTCTTTCTCTCATGGAAGAAATAAGCATTAAAAAAATAAAAAAGATTTCCCCACAACTTAACTCCAAAATTTCATTTCACTGTTAAAGAATAAATATAACTATATATATTTAAGAATTCTACCAAAAAAGGCAAAAGCTTGAAAGTACTTAGGTAACAGAATAATGGTTCAATATTAGATAGTAAATAATTAAGTAACATGGAAATTTTCCTCTGAAGATAAGAGGGTATTCCTTCCTTACTCCCATCTGTATTTAATCACATAAAATAACTACTCATTATAAAATTATTCAGCACTTTATTTTTACTTAGTCTTAAGCCATAGCTAAACAAAACTACGGTTAGCTCGAGATGGATAGAGCTCAGTTTAGATTCAGTTCTATTCTCTGAGACTCTGTCTGTAAGTGCCTTACCTTGTGAACCATATCTCATAATTACAGCATCCTGTTCTATAAACCTGTCAGAACTGGCACTAAGTTCCAGTAGGCAGTTATCATCATGTATGTAAACAAAAACAAAAAAACAAAAGCTTTATATGTCACCAATCTGAAAGGTAGATGCAGCAGAGAGTAGATTGGGGAATTAAGAAATTCTGGTCAACCCAGTTATCAAGTAACCTTCACAAGGGCAGAGGCCTTTTATTTTTTTATTCACTAGTGTATCCTAGGGACTCTGAACAATACCCCAACCTATCACAGGCACTCCTTCATTTAGACTGAAACCCAGACTGAAACTTGACACTAGTAATAATTACCATAGGCAAAGGTTGACAGAGACATCAAAGGTTAAAAGGGCCCTTTGCTTCTACATGTATTATAAAATATAAATATACATGCATATGTCAAAAGCATATATTTTTCTCATCAAATGTATGCATAATTTCTAATTCAGACTATAAATTTAATGACAATCATTCTAAAAAAAGGTAAAAGGGCTGTATTATCTTTAAATTAAAAAATATATATATATACTAGTTTCAAAATCAACCTTTAGAATTTTCTAGATAAGAAAATTAAGACACAGAGGATGTTAAGTGAAAAATCATGTCTAAGTATCACATGATAATAATTTCTTCCAAATTCAAAGTTTTCTGTTACATGATAAACTATTTCCTCAAAATGCAAAAAACAGGAATAGTACTCCTACTGGGATGTGCACCATAAAATAAAGCCATGTTTTTTTCCTTTTTGTGAATTCTTTCACAGCACCCAATATTTAATTCAACATACACTGAGTATTTAGTATATTTTATGGGCCCAGTGAGAATAAAGATCTGTAATAATGGAAAGAAAAATGAATTCAAAGTTAAAAGATCTAGGTGCGCAATTCACCTTTGCCAATATCATGTTAACTCTGGACCTCAGATTCCTTATCTTAAAATGAATGTGTTACATCATGTTTTTATTATAAATTCTTGAGTATAATTTATAAACTATAAAAAACTATAAAAAAGCACTAGGGCCCAGCTGGTGGCACAGTAAAAAAAGAACAGAACTGTGGTGCTGGAAGCCACGTGGCTAACCATGGGTTCAGATCCCCAAGCCAGCTTGAGAACATGCTGTGTGCATGCACAGGAGACTGAAATCTTGAAGGGCTAGAGGACAGGGGAAGGGGGTCCATCACATAGTGAGACCTTGTCAAGGGCACTTCTCTTGCTCTCGGTTATGCACACACACACTCAGTCTCTATAATGAAGAAAATAAACTTTTTAAAAAAAGGAGTAAGCTTAACTCTAAATTAATAAAATTAAATAAAATAAAAAGTACTTAGAATGAAGGCACTTAAAAGATCAAAATTTCATAAAACGAGGAAAAAAAGCCTTAACTGAGACCTTACCTTAAAACAAACACATTAAATTACAAGGTTAAATAACAAAATTTAAGTTAAAATTACATCTTTGATATAAATTCATCAAGTGTGTACCCTGAAAGTTGTATACCTACTTTATAAAAATTATATTTTGATAAAAAATTACTTTATTAAAAAACTACATCTCTAAGTCTTTTTTTTTTTTTTTTGAGAGGTTTTTGCTATAGGGTACGTGCGCTCACCAGAGAGAGATAGAGATAGAAAGACAGAAAGCGAGAAATCACCCCCCGGGGGGATGACCACGCCACCATCCCCTCTCCTCCATTCTCCTCTCGGGATCTTGCGCATGCACACACATGCCCGGCTTGAGTTTAAGCCACCGGGTCTGGGACTCAAACTGCGGTCGACTACATGGGAGTCCAGCGACATAGTCATTACACTAACTGCTGGTCCCTCTAAGCTTAGTCTTTAACTGAGTGAAAAATGAATATTGATTTTTTTCTTTCAGCACAATTTGTCTGAACAAACCACATTACAGTATGAAATAAATCTTTATGTCTGACTCTCCACATAACCGTCACTCTTGAAAAAATACTCCAGAATTTTACCAGTTTCCCAAGGGCTTCCCTTAATTTCTAAATTTTGAAATCATTCTCTGTATAATACTTTCATATCATTATCCTTTCTCATTCTCCAAGTTCCTCTTTTGTCACATACTGTACCTGCAGTGTGAATATTTCCTAAATATTACTTTCATAGACTTCATGAAATTAAGTTCCATTGTCTTAATGCTCATGCCAAAATATGACAGGATGTATAACTAATGTTAAGCTGAAAATGGGGATTATTTTTCTTAGGGATCAGTTCATCAGAGAATAATGTCCTATTTGACACATTTGCTTTTCCTAAACAAATGTGTGACTTTAGGTACTTGAATGATACTGAAATAAGACTACAACTGTGAACAAGATAGACAAAATACCTATAAAACTAAGTATAAGCTGGGCCCAGCACTGTCACTTAAGAAATCACACTGGGTGCGTGTGCCTCACATTCTGAAAGGATGGAGAAATGGAAGAAAAAGAATTGCAGGTTGATTACACACTACTATAGGGTGTTTCTTTTCAATCTTTCTGTCTCTTTCTCTCGCTCATTCTCTGGCAAGTACAAATGCCCTTTGACAATAAAAGAAAACGTAGTGTAAGTTTCCTGTTTTAGTTGCACTTTCAAAACAATTTCATTAAAATCTATATTTACCTTCTTGAAACTAAGTCATATTAGGGTTCATTTCCATTGTAAAAGTCCTTACTACTTAATGTTTGCTGTAATGCAAAATTTTAGGTTTAAAGTTGGTTTTACTCAATCTGAAATAAACTTACCTTTGTCCATCTACTGTACAAACAGACACACCCCACAAATCAGGACTGAACTTGGCCAGTTGAGGAATATAATCTGCAACCTATCCAAGCATAGAAATCAGTAAATATAATGTATACAAGTAATTATTTTTTTTCTATCAAAGAGTTTATCTCAATTTAACTTTAACCAATACCTACTTATATTTTATAATACTCAACAGCTTTCTTTCTCTCTTTTTTTTTTGGAGAGATTTTCACTGTAGGGCGCGTGCGCTCGCCAGAAAGACAGAGAGAGACATAGAGACAGAAAGCGAGAAATCACCCCCCAGGGGGGATGGTCACGCCGCAATCCCTTCTCCTCCATTCTCCTCTCGGGATCTTGGGCACGCACGCACACACACCCGGCGTGAGTTTTAAGCCACCGGGTCTGGGACACGAACCGCGGTCGACTACATGGGAGTCCAGCGACATAGCCATTACGCTAACTGCTGGTTCCCATACTCAACAGCTTTCTAGTTTACCTTTTATAACAGTATCTGTAAAAACTAAGGGCACAACAGACTTAAGGATTATGGGTGAGATCTGAGTCTCCATCATCTCTTATGTTTACCAATACATTATTTCCTTCTAAAAAATGAAAAGCAGAGTCTAAAAAAGGAATTTAGACTTGATCTTTTCTTAAATTTTTTAAATTATTAATTTATTTAATTTTATTTGTCATTATAATTTATTTTTTAATGTGACGAAAGAGACAGAAAGAGAAAGGGAAAGTGAGAAAACAAACTGCCAGGTCAGGGACATGAACTGCAGTTGGCCATGTGGGAGTCCAGCACCCCCATCACACCACCTGTTGGCCCCAGAGACTTGATTTTTTGTTTTAAAGGGTTAAAGTAACTTTAATCAGGATCATGGGTGCTAGTAAAGTTTTTCTATCTTAAAAATTAGAAATGTGGCGCCAGCAGGTGGTATGGAGATTAAGGGTGCTGGATCCAACATAGCCAACTCCACAGTTAAGAGTCCTGGACCCAGTAGCCTGAAAATCACACCAGGCTTATGTGCATGCTCAAAAATCCCAAGAGGAGAATGGAGAAAAAAGGATTACAGTGTGGCCATTTGTAACTTTCTATCTCTCTCTCTTTCTCCCTCTCTCTCGTGGTTAACTGCACCCACCCTATTGCAAAAGCTTAAAAAAAAAATTAGGATTAGGACTGAAGCACCTAAAAATAAGTTATAAGTATACTAGAATTATTATCAAAAGGTTATATTACACTAAAGCTACCCAAAGCTAAGCCAAAAGAAAATAAAAACGTTTGATAGATTAAAGAAAATATCCTGGGACCAGCAGATGACATAATGGCTACATCACTGGACTCCCATGTAGCTGACGTGGCTCAAGTCCCGGTAAACTCACACCGAGTGCGTGTGCCTGCGTGCCCAAGATCCTGAGAGGAGAATGAAGAAGAGATTACAGCGTGGCCATGCCCCTGGGGAATTTCTCGCTGACTCTCTTTCTGGCGAGCACACACACCCTATAGAAAAACCTCTCAAAAAAAAGAATTATGTATGTGTGTGTATGTGTGTGTGTGTGTGTTCTAATATTATTTAGAGGACTTTTAAAACTGGAAAGATTTTATTAAATATTCAATATCAGATTTATAGAAACTCCCAGTAAGTTTATTTTTATCAGTTTAAAGTTTAAAAGCCATCTCAAAAATTGAAGATTGAAAGGAATTTTTAAACTTTGAGTTCTTTTTCGTCAGAATAACAACTGAAGTTAAAAGAACTAATTTCAGTGGTTTCATTTAACTTAAATTTCTTAATTAGCAAAACAGAGAATTGGACAATTTTACTCTCTGTACCTGAAGTTGGGCTGAATTTATTGAGTATGTAAGGAAATATGCATATCAAAAACATTACCTTTCCTCCAGACTGCTTTTTAGCACTTTCATATAACTCATCAATGTGCGAAGTAAAAGACATAAAATCAGGAATGACAAACTTTCTTCTAAAGGCTTGTGTCAATAAAACAATGTTGCTTTGAACACATCTGTGGAAAGTGAGAAAAAAAAAATTAATAAACTGGGTGCCCTTCATATACTAGTGCTTGGTATAAAAGTACTAATTAGGAGAATACTAACCCCATATCTAAACAAGAAATAAACTCATCATTTTATACAACACAATTCTATTAATTATACTCTTTCTACATTTCTTTCCATCCAGCAGGCTTTCATGTAGTTGCTCATAAGGTGATAAAAAAGTTAGTGTAATCAATCAGATATGCTTAAAAATTGTGTCAAAGATTAAAATGACAGGCTGTTCCACCACGTTTAAATATTAAAACCACCTGAAGCAAGTTTCTTACTCTACCAGAGTTGGTAATTACTCAGTTAACGTTTAGTTAACAAAAATCAGACTTTACTGTGTTATGACTAAGATCCTATTGATTTTTCAATTAAGTAACCTCAGAAATATACCTAATAGTTCCTACATAATTATCACTAATATTTCCCAAAAAACTACGTTTAGTATTACCATATTTTTTCTGAATTAATTTTTAAAATTTGCATTTTTAAATTTGAACATTCGAGACAGGGCCAGCCAGTGGTGTGGTAGTTAAGGGGGCTGGGGGCCAATATTGCAGTTCCAGTCCCAGACTCAGCGGCTTTGGGAAAAAAACACACACTAGTCATGCTGCATGCATGCCCAAAACTCTCAAGAGAATGAGAATGGACTGTGGTGTGGCCATCCTCCAGAAGGAAAGTGGTGATATTTTTACTTTCCCTCTCTATTTTTTTATCTCTCTCCCAGTGAGCACTCTATGACAAAACTTTTAAAAAAAGATAAAAATCAGACTAATTTATGTCTTAAATGTTTATGTTAATGATTGTAAAAAATTAAATATTAAGAGTAAATTCTTGGGACCAGCAGTTAACATAATAGCTATGTCACTGGATTCCCATGTAGCAGACCGCAGTTCAAGTCCCAGACCTGGTGGTTTAAACTCATGCTGGGCGCGCGTGTGCATGCATGCCCTAAATCCCAAGAGGAGAATGAAGGAGAAGGGATTGCAGCGTGGCCACTCCCCTGAGGGGTGAATTCTTGCTTTCTGTCTCTTTGTCTCTCTCTCTCTCTCTGGTGAGTACAAGCGCCCTACAGCAAAAACTTCTGAGGAAAAAAAAGAGTAAATCCTTAACAGAAAATCAAATGCTAAGAGTTGAAATATTTAAAGTGAAATCATCATTACGGGAAGTTATGAATGTAACTAGATTGTTCACAGGTATTAGCACCTTCTTTAGACATTTAATTAAAAAATAACTATAAAGTCAGGACCGGCAGTTAACGCAATGGCTATGTTGCTGAACTCCCATGTAGCTGACCATGGCTCAAGTCAGAGACCCGGTGGCTTAAACTCACTCTCGGTATTTCCTTTTCAAACTTGGGCAATGAGCAATTTTTAAATCTCAGTATTTTAACTCATGTTGTTCTAGATGAAACAATGAATTAAAATGAAAAATCAGGTTTTGTATTTTAATTATGAATAAAAACTCAGAATATATATTCACCCCTGGGGGGTGATTTCTTGCTTTCTGTCTCTCTTGTCTCTCTGTCTTTCTGGCAAGCGCATGCACCCTACAGCAAAAAACTCTCTAAAAAAAACAAAAATAATAACTACAAAGTTTCAAGTACTAGTCACACTGTTTAATCCTCAAAATATCAACCTTTGAGAAGGACTTCCCCACTTTATGACGAGAAAATCAAACTCAGTTTAAATAACTTGCAATAATCATACATGGAGAAATGAAGAAGTAGACACTCTCGGTATTTCTTTTTCAAACTTGGGCAATAAGAAATTTTTAAATCTCAGGATTTTAACTCATGTTGTTCTAGGTGAAACAATGAATTAAAATGAAAAATCAGGTTTCCTATTTTAATTATGAGCAAAAACTCAGAATACATATTCACTTGGACAATATAGAACACAGTTTTAAAATAAAATCCTAATAGAAATAGCTATTGTTTCAGTGATAAAGATCACCTTATTACAACATAAAGAAATTATAATTCTCAGACCAGCAGGTGGCATGGAAATTAAGGCACTGGACTCCCACATGGTTGACCACTGTTCAAATCTGGACCTGGAAGCTTGCTTTTTCACTTTTTGTTTCTCTCTGTCTCTCTTTGGTGAGCTTAAATTCTCTATAGCAGAATTCAATAATAAAGCAAGAAATCACTCCCCAGGGGTGATGGACATGCTGCAATCCCTTCTCCTCCATTCTCTTTTTGGGATCTTGGGTACACAGGCACATGTACCCAGCATGATCTTAAGCCACCGGGTCCAGGACTCGAACTCCAATCAACTACATAGGAGTCCAGTGACGTAGCCACTATGCCATCTGCTGGTCCCACAAATAGATTCTAAAATTCAACTTATAAATATCAGAATTGCAAAGGATATATACATATACCAAGGAACAGAGGGGAATATTAAAGATAATTCCTGATCTTTTTCTTCAGCTAGAGAGACTTTAAGTTATAGCGCATGTGCGCTCACCAGAGAGCGAGAGATAAAGGAAGAAATCACCCCCCCCCAGGGGAGATGACCACATGGCAATCCCTTCTCCGCCAATTTTCTCTCCGGATTTTGGGCACGCACACACACTGGGACTCAAACTACGGTGCACTACGTGAGAGTCCAGTGATGTAATCATTACGCCATTTGCTGGTCCCTATTTATATCTACAGCAAATCAAATCTACCTCCTCTCTTTCCAAGAAGCTATAAATAAGAAAATAAGAACTGTGAAACAAATTTAAATGATTAATCTACCACTAACCATAATATTTAAAATTAATCAGCATTTTTAGAAAAAGAATACATAATTAACAAAACTCACAGTCAGTCAAACTGTGTTTTTGCTCTAGCAGAAGGTGCTAGTAAAGTAGTGTCAACGGCCTCACTGGTAAATTACCATGGCTGACAAAGGCAATCTCCCCACTCAGAAGAATGTGTAAGTGCATTCTGGTATGCATGTCAAATAGTAAGTATTTGGGGGGAAGTAATTTTAATATAGATATCATAAGTCTAGTAAAACATTAGAAGTCATATGAAATGAACTCTGAGGAGATGTTAATGCTTTTGAACAAGTCACATATGTATTACTCTGCTTTCTTAATTTTCTTATCTGTAAACAAGGAATAAAATAATCATCCTTGCCTGCTGAAGTGTTTATGACTGATAATTGTAATACACAATGTTTTATAATTATCACATATAAGTTTTCATTATTAAAATAAAAGATATAAAAATCAAACAATATGTAAATGCAAAACCAAAAACAACCAAAAATCATGAATATGCATGAACACAGTTCTAGTATCTGTAAGATTAAAAATGCATGACTAAATAAAGGATTAGTTTTCAACATAAACTGTCTTACTTCTATTGGTTTGAGAATTACTATATTAAAAACAGTTAACTCTCAAAATTGTACAGGCAATCTCCAATTTTCAAATAGATAATACTCCAAAAAGTATGTTTAGAACTCATTTTCCCGTGTAAAACATGCATAATAGTTGTTTCTCAGACTACCTACAAAGGCTAGATATATTAACCCACAATATATTTTAAGTAATACATCAACATATAAACTTCAACCAAATCTTTCTAAATTATTTATCTGGGAAAATGAATTCTATGTTATAACATCTCCTCTCCATGTAGCTGGAGATGATTTACTTCTAGCAAAACTAACAAAATAATTTTTTATATGCTATAAAATAAAGAAAGAACTTCTCTAGAACAATCACCTTTCCAGGTGATATGAAAAGGTTTACGGTCAGAAATTCTGAATTACCTCATCCTAGAGATGAAAAAAGAAATCATTATGCCTATAGTCTGTCTCCCAATAGAGGCTACTGAGCACTTGTCAAGTTGGGAACTGCCTGTATTACAATCATGGATTTTTTAAAAATTGAATTAGTATTTAAAATAATGATAATTATCTCAATAACTGTAGATAGAAGATTTTTTTTTATTGTGATTCCCTGGTTTCATAATCAGAGTAGTTAATTGTTTTTAATTTCATCTTTGAAACACAGCAACATGTTCATAAAGCACAAAACATCCTAAACAGTATTAAAAAGGTATAAAACACTGCTTCTACTTAAAATTCCAAAGCAGTTCCCCATATCTATTAATCAACAAATCTACCTACCATCTTTCTGACAAACTTCATTCACAAATACACCAAAATAACTCTCCAAAAAGCACCACATTCAGAGTGCCTTACATAGGTCATTCAAGAACACTAAAGAAATACCTTCCTTCATCCTCTAAACATGTTCTGGATACTCAAAATGCCTAGCATTCACTGCAATATGCACCTAAAATCTATACTTTTAAGATCGGCTAAGTAAGCAGAACCAGGACCCTCCATGTGAAAAGAATCCAAAACTGTCAAAAGTGCTTCATGGCATGCCAGAAAACTTCAGAGAATCTCAGTTAAATACTTTATGTAATCAAGCTAATCAGAACATGTTAATGAAGATAAATAATAAACAGATATGCAAAATGTCAAAATAAGTATGTCAAAATAAATATTCTCACTTGACCAAATCAAGGCTAACTGATCCCCCAAACTGTCTTTAGATCCTGTTTGGAGGAATAGGTCAAAATCTCCATATCAGTATGTCTGAAGAGAGGAGAGAAACAGACAATGCAGATTAAGGAATATAGGGATAAATATAGGGTTGTCTGAGGCCCCCTCATTTTATGGTATCATCTATTCACCTTAAAAGAAGAACTAGAGACATTGCTAAGAAAGGCTGTAAGACATGCAGTCCAAGTGGGGATTGATATAAGCAAGGACAGAACTAAGGGTGTGCTCTCTTCAAGCTGAATGCAATCTCCAGAAACTGCAAACTGTAAACGTCTACAGTTAAATGTCTTTAGAACAGATGTAAAAAAGTATATTCCTCGCCCAGTGTATTAGAGAACCTTAATGTGCACAAAGTTCTTCAAATGATGTTTATAAATCCCTTTTTTTTCAGTTACAGAGGAAGCACTGGTCTTCAAAAACTCAATTTTGTTTTAAAAGCAAAATCATCATATAGCACAGCAAAGCACCATTAAAGGTTTGGGAGAAATTTTTACTTTTTAAAAAGATCTTTGTCTAGCATGACACCATCTGATGTTGTTTGAAGAGTTAATCTTAACATATCCATA